GATATAGCGCTTTTGGTCGCGAGCTGCTAGCAGCCTACTGCGCCATCAAACATTTTCGGCACGCAGTAGAAGGACGTCAATTCATTTTATTCACCGACCATAAGCCCTTAACGTATGCTTTGCATACCAAGTCTGACCGCTACTCACCACGGGAGTGCAGACATTTGGACTATATCTCTCAGTTCACGACAGATCTTCGTCACATCCAAGGCAAGTCGAACTGTGTTGCCGATGCTCTATCACGAATCCAAATGAATGCAGTTACCTTGCCGGTGCTTGATCTTCCTGCTATGGCCGCTGCCCAAGCAAACGATCCCAGTTGTTCAAAAGCACCACACTCTACGTCCCTTCAGTATCAGGAAGTACCTCTAGCCACGACTTCTGGCACCATTCTATGTGATACGTCTACCGGTCTTCCTCGACCCATCGTACCCTCTGCTTATCGCCGTCTCGTATTCGATGCCCTGCATGGATTATCTCACCCAGGTATCGCAGCTACATTACGCCTCATCGCTGCACGATACGTCTGGCCGTCCATGAACAAAGATGTTCGTATGTGGGCTAAGCAATGCTTACAATGTCAACGATCAAAAGTGCACAGGCACGTAGCCGCTCCTCTCGGTACATTCGCTACGCCTGATGCTCGCTTCGATCACGTTCACTTAGACATTGTAGGACCACTGCCACCATCGCACGGGTATGATCACTTACTCACGTGCATCGACCGTTTCACCAGATGGCCCGAAGCTATACCCATCACGTCTATCACGGCGGAGACAGTTGCTCACCGCTTCGTAGAACGATGGATAGCTCTATATGGTTGTCCCTCGACCGTCACGACTGACCGAGGACAACAATTTGAGTCCGCACTATTCTCCTCACTTACTCGGCTGCTTGGTACGGAGCGAATACGCACTACCGCCTACCATCCAGCTTCAAACGGTTTAGTTGAAAGGTTTCACCGTCAACTTAAAAGTGCTCTTCGAGCACACGAAAACGACGACTGGTACGAAACCTTACCGCTCGTTCTTTTAGGTATCAGAACGAGTTTAAAGGCAGATATCCAATGTTCCGCCGCTGAACTTGTGTACGGCACGACATTGCGTCTGCCCGGGGAATTCTTCACACCACGGAGCAGACATGATTTCGCTAAATCAGACTACGTCCAACGACTGTCTGCATTTATGCGAACGCTGTCTCCGGTGTCAACTCGAATACAACATCGACAGGTCGCTCTCCCTCGAAAGTTATCTACCTGTTCACATGTTTTCATACGAGTAGATTCGGTACGCAAACCTTTGCAACAACCTTACGAAGGCCCTTTTCGCGTGATCGCTCGTCACGAAAAGACCTTCAAGGTTGATCGACACGGCCGCGTCGAGATCGTCAGCATTGATCGTCTCAAACCAGCACACGTCGATGACAGTGCCCTATCTGATAACCTGAGATTCAATGCTAGACCAAGTAAACCTACTAGCGGGATCCTCAAATCATCTACAGGTCCCACGCTAGATACAACTGAGACCTCACTCTCACGTCCCAGTCAACAGCACGCGTCATCTGCACCGTCTACGGACGAGACGACAGTCTCACGTCCAGATCAGCAGAACACGCCGCCCTTGACTTCGGATGAGATTGCAGGCTCACGCGACGCGAACGAGACTATCGTCTCACGTTCCGGTCGCCGAGTACGGTTACCCGTACGCTTCCTCGATTAGTCGCACAGTCGACAACCGATACGGTGTAGGATTATTCCTATACTACACGTATGCTACACTCTTCTTTTTTGATTTTCTTTTTGTTTCCTGAGCCCACGCCTTCGACCATCTCCGTTTGGTTCCGTCGACTTCAGTCAACTTTGGCGAAAGCTGGATTGGCCACCCATGCTCTTGTCAACGTTTTCAGTCGATATATTGGTTTCGAATGCTTGGCATACGCTTGGTCTCGAACTTGGTCTTTACGGTCGCTTCTGGTTTTTTGGCTCAACGTGGTTTCGTCCTACGTCTGCAGCGTTTCTGGTGCGCACCTCTACGAACGCCCTCTTCAGATTCTGGATACAAACCACTCTGGTGTAGCATGCCAACTCGAGCAATCAATGCAATACATCGCTCCTGGTACTGTTCTCCGAAAACGACCTTCGTTGGCAACTCGACGATCAACGATCGCTTTCCTGTTCGCCAATCTTTCCGTCCTACAATCGCTCGTCAGCCGATCAGTCCCACGATTCAAACCGCTATTTATCGAAAGTGTAAACCCTTTCTAGCGGGGGGCTCCTGTAGTGACTCACGTTTATCACGAGAACACGACTGGTTTAATAAAAACAATTATTATTATAACCAACTGTACCAGTGTTTGTTTTAATGTGCTTTTGTTTAACTGTGCTAATTGTAGCCATTTTGTGCTTCCATTACCTTCCATTATTATTCCGCGGTTTTTGGTACTGCTCGCACGTACTCCCGTTTCTGCTTTCACTTGTACCATTCCTTGGCACGATCTCGGTATTCGTTCAATACCACGAGATCGCCAACGAAATAAATCTGGTTACGATCGATCCTCGCCTTCTGATTTGTCTGGCACGTGTTTCTGGGTAGCGGTGTTCACAGTTAATCTCAACTCGACGCCACGCTACAAGGATTCCAAGTTTGGGCTTGCTTCGTGATTCAGTTTGGTGATTTCTGAAATGTGAGTCCTATCCACCCCCAGTGTCTTCGTAGTTTCCTCTTCAGCTGGAAGTTAGTATGTTCTCTACCGCAGTAGGTTATTGTTGTTGTTGATGATGATCATGATTGTATTAGTTCTCCAAGTTTCAGCTCCGCAAAATAGGATTGTCCTGACATATGTATTGAAAATTCTGACCTTGGTGTTGGTTGACAGTGGTTTTGAGTTCCATCTGTTCTTCAACTGAGGGAATTCCGCCATTGTTTTGCAAACCAGTGCCTTTACATCTAAATCAGATCCTCCTTGTACACCAATGATGCTGTCCAGGTACGTGAAAGCTTCCACTCGTTTCAGAGTTTATCCATCAATTGTGATTAGGTTGGTGCTCACTGTGTTATATTTTAGGATGTTGTATCCCCCCTTGTACATGTTGAGGCCTACTGCTGCAGAGGATGCTGTCACATTGTCTGTCTTCACTTGCATTTGTTGGTGTGTATGGGATAGAGGAACCAGGTCATTTACGAAATCCTAATTGTTTAGCTTCATCCAAGGTGTTCACTGTATTCCGTGCTTTCCCTCAGATGTAGCGATCATCAGTATTCAGCTAATTACCAGTAGAAAGAGGAAAGGTGAAGGTGAGTAGCCTTGTCTGACATCAGTCTTCACTTTCAATATATTTGGGAGCAAGCCCCGATGCACGACTTTGCAGTGTAGTCTGTTTCATGAATTCCGTGTGATATTGACGATCTTCGCAGGTACATTATAATGTCGAAGATGGTTCCATAAGTTTCGCCTATCCACTCTGTTAAATACTTGATCGCAGTCGAGGAAGTTGATGTATAGTGATGAGTTCCATTCAATTGATCGCTCAACGATGATCCATAGTGTCACAACTTGGTCTGTGAACGACCGATCCTTACGGAATCCATCTCGTTGATTTCAAAGTTGGGCATCCACGGAGTCTTTCATTCGGCTCATCAACACTGTGGAAAACCTTTCCTGGTACTGATAGTAGTGTGATGCCTGAGTATTCCTCACACTTGCAGAGATCTCCTTTCTTTGGTATCTTGATGACGTATCCTTTTTTCCAGTATGTTGGCACTTGTCTTTCTTCCCAAATCCTTCTGAATAGAATATGTAGCATCGCAGTTACTTCTGTCTGATTTCAGTGCTTCAGATGGTATGTTGTCTGACCCTGCTGTTTCCTCACTCTTAGCTTGTCTTACGGCCACACTGATTTCTTCCAATGTTGGTAAGTTAATAACTTTGGGGAGGTGTGTACGTGTTGTTTTGATGTCCAGTGGGTTCAATGGAGCTGACCTATTCAAGAGTTCCACAAAGTGTTCTATCCATCTGTTCCTCTACTCTTAAATCTCAGTGATTCTCTTACCTTCGTCCTTGACTGGTCTCTTTGGTTTACCATATTTCCTGTCAGTTTATTAGTTATATCATATAACTGTCTCATATTTCCTTCCATTACAGCTTTTTCCACTGTCGATGCTAGGTCTTCTACGTATTTCTGCTTGTCAGCTCTAATGCTTCTCTTCACATGCTTGTTTGCTTTTGTGTATTCAGCTTGTACCTTGACTTTCTCTGCTCTTATCCGACTGTTGTTAATTGATATCTTCTTGTTCTTCCTTTCTTGAACCTTGTCCAGGGTTTCGATAGAGATCCGTTCCTTATCATGTTGCTTGTTGCGGCTCAGCACCTTCTGACACGTTGAAGTTATTGCCTTTTTGATCTCATTCTAGTTGTCCTCTATCTTAGTTCCTTCTTTGAGTAGCTCTTGTAAGGTTTGGAACCTGTTGTTGAGAGTTATCTTGAATTCGTTGAGTTTGCCTGTATATCGAAGGAAGGCTGTAATGAACCTTTGTTATGATATTTCTTCAGTTGTACAATGTTTCTCCGGCTTTAGTTTCATCTTGACCATCACCGGGTGGTGATCGGAAGCTGTGTCATCTTTATTTGTTCTTCCATCTTCCATCGGGCTTCTTAACTTTTTATTGATGCATGTGTGATCGATCTTGTTCTCTGTAGTATGGTCTGATGAAACCCAAACGGCTTTCTGTATGCATTTCTGGGAAATATTGTACCACATATAACCACTTTGCTGATTGCAAATCTCTCACCATTTACTTTGCTTTCTCCCATAGTTAATGATAGTTAAATTATCGTAACTGTGTTTGGTTGTCAAACACTACTTGTACTTTACTTGCATTTGTTATTATTTAGAATAAATTTAATGTAAATAACCTCTTTTCTATATTGTTCATTGTAATTCCTAATTCTCTCACTTAGTAATTCAGTATTTTCCTTCTCATTTATTTATTTTTTACCTTCAGTATCTAGCTAAACGACAATTTCAACGACCCAAATCTTTATTCACTACATTATTTGCATCTGTAGCGTCAAATGGACAACCATATCGTCGAATTACTGGCATGGCTGTACCATTTCAATATTCTATTGGTAATAATGATTTGTCACCGCCGTCATCATCTATACATTATAAGCCTGCATATGTAAGTGTAAGCTTACATGAAGGCAGCGTTGAAGCGGACGACCCAAAATTGAAGAATGTGCACCAAACGGAAATACTTGTAGAATTAAAACAATCAATTCAGTTGGTATGTCAACTAATATTCTTTATATCGTTCTTATTATTTATCATATTTTTTAACGTACGTATACTGCTTGTAACATCTTTAATTATCAGTGTTTCATCTGTTTGTGTACAATGTCATAGTGAATTGCTTTTAGATGCCAGTAGTATGATTCCGTTTTTTTATAGTTTACTTACCTTACAGTTTAGTGTAGACAGATACATGACTGGTGAGTTACATTCATTCAGTTAGGTTCCTTGTACTTCTGACGGTAGATACTTTACATCATTGTGCCTATGTCAAGACTTAATGCGGTCTAATTGTTCATGTATTACATTACCAAATGCCGTGGTACGGCCGAGAGTGGGGAGAGTCCGCTCTCCCCCTCCAAATGCTCTCACATGGTGTCACAACTTGGTCTGTGAACGACCGATCCTTACGGAATCCACCCCGTTGACGGATTTAATCCCATGTCATCCAGCTTCACAGTCAGACACGTTACCACTAAGCGACTGATATCCTGTAGGACTAAGATGTATTTACAATCGGCCGATCGCTGGGTAGTGATCAGTGTCATGTGTGTCAGTTCTTTCTCAAGGAGTATCGATTCCCTTAAGATTACAGGTATACCATGCTGACGAGTGCCAAGTAGCACGAAACCTAGGTCCAGGGTTTCTTGTTGACTACCTTCAACCACCATCTTATCTCAACGTAGTGCACGAAATGTCGAGTCACCTAGACCAGTGGCCATATTGTATTTTGGTCGATAGGATTCGATGTGCACTAAAAAGGACCAGACACACACGACATTGATCACCACTCAGTGATAAATCAACTGTAAATAAATCCCCTATTTAGTAAAAGAGATAAATTTAATTCTTTGTTTGCCTTTGTCTTCTTAGTTTTAGTTAGTTTGAACTACTGACCAAAGCTTACTGGATATTCAAATTAATTTTAAAGTAATATATTTTAGAATTGTGGCTATTAATAAGTATTTACGAAAGTTCTAAGTAGTCCCCAACTAAAAAAGTGTGATGTGAAGGGCACATGATGTCGGATGTACGGCTGAATATTTCGATTATGTAGTTTATCAAATGTTCACGTCGCTAATACCTACACAAGTTTCTTTAATTTTCGTCGATGAAACAATGTAAATAATGTGTAATTGTTGTTTAAGGAGCTCATCGATATCCCAAGACGTTATCTTCACAAATTAGCATTACATCTACTTGCTTTTGGGTGCCCCAAGTCTTTCACCTTGATGATTCTGAAAAACTAGTTACATTTTAATATACTGTCAATTTTTTCGGCTTACAGCCAATTTGCGTAAATAGATTAACCAAGGAGGTTTGGTTGAGGAAGTCTACGGTAGTTTTAATAATTATGAATTTTGAAGTTGTTCTTAAGATTTTGCTGGTGAGACAACATTTTTCGATGACAAATATTTGTTATTTACAGATATTTCTTGTAAGGAGAATAAACTGCTTATTGCCAAGCTATGCGATTACATTAAAATCTACTAAGTAAGCATGTAGAATCCTATTATTGTGTGTCTGAATTAACCAATATTATACTACTTATCCACAACCATGACTTTCAGCGTAATATGTTTCAAATGAATCTTTTATAAATGAAAGAGGCCGGGGCTGATGAAGGTACTGAAGATTATGAGGAGACGCTGGTAGTTAAAAGTCAAATCTTAGAAATAAATATCAAATAACCATCATTCTCATGGGTGACTTTAATTGCAGCATACATTTGAAGAATGAAATCTTTTTAAATGGTCGGTGATCTTCTAAATAAGACCAAGAGGTCAAATATCGGTACAAAAAGGTTTCGCACAAGATTGAGTCCATCGTGTGTGGTAATTTGAAAGTGGTCCTTATTAAGTTGTTCATTCATTGTTGGTTCAGTAAATCAATAATATCGTGTTTTAGGAAGTATCTCGGGGATATCAGTAAAACAGAATACTTTGAAGTGATGAACACAGAAAAATCATTAATAGTGAGGCATTACATTGATCGAGCGTTTTCACTAATTAACTGGAACTTCCTAGATTTGAGGCAGTTGAAATATATTCACATTACCAGCAAATAATTAGCATACATCTAAATGCTATTTTATTAGAAAAATTGTGCGTCTTTGGTCCGATCAATAATTCGCCATCCCTTCAGCAGCATCATTTTCCACGTTATAACAATTGGCGACGGGGTGAAGAAAAGATACAATCCAAAGTCATTCTGTAATTGGACGAAATCCAGTCTAATTATTCAACCAATCAGTATCCAGATTGTCATCAGTGTCCTTGAACCACATTGGTCATTAGTCACACAGTAATTTTCATCACAGGTGCTGATTCAAAAAAATGACTCTCCCCTCCGATCGATTACAGCTGCTCTTTGAACGACATTTGGAGTTATTAGTCAAATTCCGCACGCAGCTGCTAAATCACTCATGCTATAAAGACGCGACGGAAGTGGATGGATTGATATCTGAAATACACAGTGAGCTGGAAAATGACAGCAGCCTCCATGAATCCTCGGTGAACTGTACTTCAAACGGAACAGTCATCCATCATGCCCCCAGTGGTCCAGTACTTTCTATTCCAGAAACATGTACGGTAATGGAGTCAAACTCCATCAACCCCGAAACAGCATGTGCAGACAGTAACATATCCAGCTCACGAGAAGATCTCATTGTTTTGCCAGAAAATGTGTTTCACGCATCAACTAATAATCAAGAACCTGGCACAGTTTTGTTGGACGCGGATTACCATAATCATCCATTATCTACTAATGATGCTCCTTATAAATTTGACAACAATATCTCAGAAGATTTGAACTCGGATGATTTCGAATTGAGTGGTGTTTATCCTCATTATCTGGTCGATTTTACTGGATTCCCTGTGCAATGTGTTTTAAATACAATCAAATTAATTGTAATTTGGGTTTATGAAGACCCAACATTATTTCGAGGGGGAGGATAGACGCGAGAAAAATTTAAAATCCGGACATCAACTCCGGATCTCCAAAAAAGGGGAGGTGTTGGGGTATTCAGGAAAATATCCCAAAAATTATCCTGTTAAGCCTAGTGCTATCCTTGGACATGAAATGGTATCATCTTATTGGTCAGTATTTATTTAACGTGTCATTTTCCTACTGGCCATTATTGTACAATGTTATCTTCTATTTTATGGTACGTTGTGGACTGCTTGAATGGTATATAAACAAGTATGTTTGAAATATAATGATTCATATATCCGAGGCTGAAACTTGTGTTCTGGACTCAACTGGCTGGGTTAGGCAGGGAAGCGAGACCAATCAGAACCCTAGGTCGTTCTACGTGTTTGTGCGTCTTTGGTCCGATCAATAATTCGCTATCCCTTCAGCAGCATCATTTTCCACGTTATAACAAAAAAATATCTTGAATGACCAAAATATTTGTTAAAATATAGAGTTCCAAACACGTAAAAAAGAACCGTTGTGTAGACCAGTGAATTCTGTAATGAGTTTAGCATTGTATCAAAGAAAATACATATGAATGTAACAGATAAATAGAGCATAAACAATATTCGTTAATGATATGTTACCGATTTCATTTTCAGGTGATAATCCTCATGAAACGAAACTACACATTTTTATCTAATTAAAAATCTCAAAATGATCAGATGATTTAAATGAAAAATACGTTTTGCCAGAAAATTATTTGAAATAATTTTTTTAAAATTTCAATCTCATATCTATTCTCATGGAGCTAGCAATAAATTAATAAGGTACTTTAAGAATAGATGGGGAAATACTTGGTTAGTTTTCTTGCATACAATATGTCTTCACTGTTAAATGTATATTTTAAGGCAAATAGCTAAGAAAACTCCTAGGATAAACAGTTAGTTCAGTATGAACAAATCACCTAATTTACACAAAAAGTATGTGTTATAACCCGACGGGAACTATAAGTGGTAGATTTTGAGAACTATTTATGGAACAATACGATGCATATATTTTTATTGTATAGTTGTTATGTAACTAAACTATGCATATTCAATTTCCTCCTATTATAAGCTTTGTCTTGACCCATAGACTATTATTATGCGATTTACTATTCTTGACTTATGCTCAGTCTATTAATTACAATCTCCCACATTCACAGCCACTTTTGGCCAGATCTTGTACAAATATTGTTTTCTATTTTGTGGTGAGATGTGGTCTGTTTGGTTTGTATATAAATACAGTATGTTTGAAATACATGACTCATATTTTAGAGGCTGAGATTGGTGTTTTGGACTCAACAGGCATTGCTAGGCAGGGAGACGGTCTGATAAGGATTCTAGACCACTCGTACGGGTTTACGCGTCATTGGTCTGGTCGATAGATCGCTGTTCTCTAATTGGTGGTATCATTACGTTATATATTAATAGAACACATGTTATAACTTTATTAGTGCACTCTCCAGAATATTTTGAAAATAAGACGAATTTTTACCACCCCGTGAAGATTTAATTATTTTACTTATTTTTAATAGATTATATATGGCATGCCTAATGGAAGAAATGAACTATCTGAACAAATCAGCTACACAAGAAAGATTAGCGTTATTATTTGGTTCAGTCAATACTGAATTACAAGCTGCAAAAACTACTTTTCTTAACCACAGAGAAACCTGCTGATACGTTCAGTTCTCAGCAATGTCGACGTAGTATGTAAGGAATTCTCAAGCAACCTAACAAATTATTCAACGGTTTAAAATTGAATTCAATGATGATTATTATTATTTTTGACGAAAATGATGATTACGAATGCGAGTCTCAATCAAACTTGGATCCCTGTTAGGAAGTATGATTAAACAGATATATGTATTACACAATATTTGTTGAATTCAACCTCAAAATTTCCAACACCAGTTCAAATATTTTATACTACCATACTTTAGTACGTTTTACTCAGTGTTCACAGCCGATGAAAAAAAATCGGAAGCGATGTCTGAGCTTCAAAACTAATAAACTACTATTTGAGATGTTATGGCTGTTAAACAGGGAAAATACAGGAAAGTTCAGGAACTCTGTCGTAGATATTGTAACTACATATTTGCTATATTGAGTACTATTTTTTGAAGTTTGAAAAGTGATTGCTACAACAACTGATTCCTGTACGATTATGTTAAGTCTAGATATACCTAAATAGTAATAAAATTTCAATATTAATATTGATAAAGTATATGACAGAAACTAACAGAAGATCAATGTTACCCGATCCTATGTAAGACCATAACATGATGCTAATGCCAACAGATGGATACTAGGAAAACATAAGTTACATTGCAATTCATAAACCAATGGAAAGGCTGTAAAATGTTGAGACATGCTACGCATTTAGA